ATGGCTCACAGGGTTGAAATCAAGTTTTAACAGGGTTTAACCCTGTAAACACCGGAGCCAGCCCCGGTCTCTGTTAAAGCCAATAGAAGCTGTGTCACTAGCTTCACTGGGAGCTGGGACTAGAGTCCTCTAGGACATTGTTTCCTCAACCTTGTTGATACCAGGGACCGGCTTGCTGCCTTCCTAAACTGCGCCAGGGAGATCTCAGGGACCAGCACCAGTCCACAGACAGCTCATTGAGAAACGCTGCTCGAGGATCAGGGAGTTGCATTGCTGTGATGGATTCATGGGAACTGGATTTGGAAAGACAACACCAGCAGCTACTTCTCCTAACTGCGTGTGTTGGGGACAAGGAGCACCCAGTTCTCTAGGTCAGAACAGTGGCAGGGTTTTTTGCTTCTAGAGGACCAGAGGGGCTTATTTTTAAACCGTGCCCCGGGCTGAGTCCATGCAGAGGACAGGGGCCTTTGAGGAGTAGAAACAAAGCTGGTTTAGAAATCAAGTTATAATCACATCCTGCTTCTCTAGCATCGCCCAGCAAGGCCAACCCCACTCCTGCGGAGTTCAGTGCAAGCAGGGTTAGGCCCCGGGAGTCAGATTCAGATCGGACAGACACAGGTGAGAGTCACCCCTGAAGTCACAATTTCACAGGTGCAAGACTGGTGAGAGCAAAATTTGGCCTTAAGTTCTAACAACATAGTGCAGTGCAGCGATCCTGCGACATGCATGCTCACTACGTGTGTGTACACACACACACACACACACACACACACACACACACTACCAGCACCAGGCTACATTCACAGTTAGTCTTTGCAGAATGCCAAAAACATGATGTCTCCGGACTTTAAACTCTGCAGCATCAAATAACCCAGTTAGCCCCTTGCCCTTGTATTGAGAAGCTCTGAGCTCTTTACCAGCCTCAGAACATTTCTGTGGCATAGGCAAGAATCATCCCCATCTTACAAATCGGGGAAACTGAGGCAAGTTGGCCAAGGTCACCCAGTGAGGCAGTGACAGAGCTGGGAACGGACGTCAAGAGTTCTGTGCATCAACCACAGGTCTGTTCTTCCCCTTTATATAGTAAATAAACACATTTTAAAATGGTTGCCCCCTGCAGCAGGGTTTGAAGCCAGGACCCACAGCCAGTCAGCACCAAATGCATCCCCAAGCCCACTCTGTGCCTATTAACTTGGTATCACTGCACTCTGCAGCCATCATGGTATTGCTCTTCAGTGTCTTGCTGGGAGGGTGGAAACTGTCAGTCACCCAACAGTCACAATCCATGGGCCTGGACCCCACTATACACAAACATGGTTTAGAATGGGGATCAGCAGTCCTGGGTTCTATCCCTAGCTCCGGCACCCATGTGCTGTGTGACCTTGGGATAATCAAGCAGCACAGAGAGGCTGGGGGGGGGCGGGGGATGTGAGAAGTAATTCATTGCTATGTTTGTACAACTTTGGCATTGTCAGGTGAGAGGTGACAGAGGTAGAAAGTATTGTAATGAACTGGGCTTGGGGCAGGAGGAGGAGTGAGACACGCTGCTGCCAGAATCTGACGTGTGTGTTATAGCCCTGATACTGTCTCTTTCTCCTTCAGAAAGATCCAAGTTCCCTGAGCACCGTCAGCGTGTAGTTCCAAGTGACTCCATGGAGAATACATTGCTCTTCTACACAGCCAGTCTCATCAGTAGATCTCAAAGCACTTTTAGAAAGAGGTCAATATCATTATCCTCGTTTTACCTATGGGGAAACTGAGGCACAGAAGCGACTTGGGCAACAGAGTGACAAGTCCTACAGAGATCACAGAGTTGTTAGCGTCTGTATTATAATGAGATTCACACATACGCCAGTCATTCCTTTGCATGCTCCAGTTCGGTTTAGCTGTGTGGATGATGTGAGCTGGGAGAGCTGCTCTTCAGCATGCCAGACTCAGCAGGACCCAGACAGCCTAACACAATTCGATAATAGCTCTCCACGCAGTACCCTGCTGAGACGCGGGCGGGAGGAAATGGGCTTGTTCTTTGTGGTCTCTGTAAGGGAGATGCACTGAAATCTCTCTGCAGCACCAGGAGGGGTTCCTGGATCTCTGAGCGAAAGCCCTCAAAGGAAGAGGGAGAGTTGCAGGCCTTGCACAAAACCCAGGGTGGAGTTGCCCAGGCGACTGTCACCATGGAAACAGCAGCTATTTCTGAAAGTCGGCTTGGTTTTTATTGGAGGAAATTGCTAGTTTTAACAGCCTCCCCCAACTCCCCTTCAGCGGATCAACACCTGCCCCACAGCGACGCCTGGTGGGAGTTCCTGGGAGTGCCCCACAGCCAGAGCTCCTGCCTCACTCCCTACAGCAAGTCCTGAGAGACATTTTGGGGGGGGGGGGGGAAGCAAACAGGAACCCCCTCGCACATGGCCAGGGCTACTACTCCATCCCTTACAGCGCCTCCTGCTGGAACACGCTGGGAGCTCCCCTCAGGGCTGTCAGTTCAGAGGGCCCCTCTCCGCTCTCACTGAAGAAGGGAGAGCCTGGGCCAGCCTGTGAGCTGTCGAGATCCCCAAGCAGTTGTGTGTGTGGCTCACGCTTCCGGCCAACGCTGGCACCGCACCAGCCAGTGCTCCAGAGACTAGGAAAAGGGAGCTGGCAAGGGTGACCAGGCGTCTGGTTTTCGACCAGGTGCCCTGTCAGCGGAGCTGCGGAGCTAAGGCAGGCTAGTGCCAACCTGTCCTGGCACTGCGCTGCACCCCAGAAGCAGCCAGCAGGTCCGGCTCCTCACCGAGGGGCAGAGGAGGAGGAGGAGGGGAGGGCAGAAGGCTCTGCGGCGCGTGCTGCCCTCACCCCAAGCACCGGCTCCGCATTCCCATTGGCCAGGAACCAGCAAATGGGAGCTGGGGGGGGCGGTACCTGCGGGTGAGAGCAGTGCCCTGCCCCCCCACCCAGGAGCCGGACCTGCTGGCTGCTTCCGGGGTGCAGTGTGGTGTCCCAGGACAGGCAGGCAGCCTGCCTTAGCCCCCACGCTGTGCCGCTGACCGGGAGCTGCCCGAGGTAAGCCCGTGCCCCAACCCTGAGCCCCAGCCTCCTCCCCCAGCCCTGAGCCCCCCCCAAACCCAGAGCCCTCTCCTGCACCCCAGAGCCCACACCCCCAGCATCTCAACCCCCTGCCCCAGCCCACAGCCCCCTCCCACACCCTGAACCCCTCATCCCTGGCCCCACCCGCTAGCCTGGAGCCCCCTCCTGCACCCCAAACCCCTCATCCCTGGCCCCACCCCAGAGCCAGCATCCCCCAGGCCAGAGCCCTCATCCTTCCCACCCACCAACCCCCTGCTTCAACCTGCAGCCCCCTCCCAAACCCCTCATCCCCGGCCCCACCCCAGAGCCAGAACCCTCAGCCCAGAGCCCTCTCCCCCCCACCCCAACTCTCTGCCTCAGCCTGGAGCCCACTCCCACACCCTGAACCCCTCATTTCTGGCCCCATCCTGGAGCCCGCACCCCCATTTAGAGCCCTCACTCCCTCCTGCACCCAGGCCAGTGAAAGTGAGTGAGGGTGTGGGAGAGTGAGCCACCGAGGGAGGGGGAATGTAGTGAGTGGGGGGTGGGGCCTCATGGAAGGGGCGGGGCTAGGGTGTTCGGTTTTGTGCCAATAGAAAGTTGACAACACTAGTGCTTGCAGCGACGCCATTCCCCATAGCGCCCCCTTCTGGGAGACGTGAGGGATTGCAGTAATGATCCCCCACCAGACCCAGCGTTCCTGCCTAATTCCACAGCACCTCCTGCTGGAGGAGGCAGAGACTGAAGTAGCTGTGAGCTCCACAGCCTGCGCTCCTATTCCACCCCTACTCCTGGGGGGAGTCGGTTTTCCAGAAGGCCAGCCTGCTGATTCCACCTCTCCCACCACGAGGGAGCATATGTGCCAGGAGAAGCCGGGGGACTGGGGAGGCATAGGCATGAGGAGAGATTTCCTTGATTTGTTTTGGTATAAATGGAAAATGATATCTAATAAGATTCAGCCTCCCACGCTGCCTCATGAAAGAGGAAAGGAGACGGAAGATGTGCCAATGTGTCCCCTACAGGGCCCATAAACGCCACACATGCCACTCTCCATAGCAGTGTGACCATCAGGGGCAATGCTGACAGCAGCAGTTATGCTCTTACACCAGGGCTGAATTTGGCCCCAGGCATTTAATTGCATTGGGGCGGGGGATTTTATTGCGGATCTGGATATTCTGTACTCCAATAGCGTATTCTCTTTCAACTTCCGGCCCCCAACCGTAGCAGTGCCATTAACCAGCTGCCAGGATACACCACAGAGGTGGCTGCACTTCAGTGGTGGGTGTAGTGACTAGAATATATCAAGATGGGCGATTTCAAAGCTGAACTATTTTAACAAATCCAAGGCCAGCCACAACATCATGGCTGTCCCTATACCACATGCCACCGCCCCTTGCAATGTCACTGTGACAGTGGGGCTAAACCTGCTCTGTCTCCACCACTTGAGCTAATGGAGGATCTCCATTAGAGGTTAGCAATATAGGGCCAATGTCACACAGTGTAGCAGTTCCAATTCCCTCCACCAGAAGACAGCAATGCAAACACACAAATTTGCGCTGTAATACTGTAATGTGCTAACTAGCTGCCGCTGTGAAGCTCATGGCTTCAGTCCCGTTGATTGTTAGGTGCACAGAGACCTTTAGCATTGGAGAGACGCAGACCCTCAGACTGGAAACCAGGCTGAATCCCCCACATCAGTCACCCACACTCAGGGGATGTGCCCACAAGCCATTTTGTCCCCCTCACCCCTGAAGATCAGGCAAGCGCACCAGCAAGGGAGGACCGACCGGCAACATTCCCTCCTCTCCGTCGGTCAGCTGAGGAGAGCCCGGTAGCACTGGTCAGGGAGCAGGGGAGTCCATTGCTGGAACCACGCAGCCAATCGGCAGAACACCACCACCGCACCCAGGTCCCAGAGAACGGCCAGAGGGGCTGGACAGTCAGAGGAGGGGCCTTACCTTCCAGTCCGTGTCCACCGCGGAATGGAACGTATCCGAATGCTCCTGGAGGGGAAAACAGATCAGAAAGAACCATCAGAGCTCATACAGGCGCCACCGCGAAGCAGTAACACAGACACCTGGCTATCGCCTCATCCCTACCCCCTCGCCGCCGCCACCTGCCTTCCAGTCACCCGCTGAGAGCGCTGATGAGCCTCCGCACAGCCGCCTCCTCCTCCATTAATACCCCAGGAAGGAATTCACGCCCACTCTAAGCTGGGAAGGACAGAGGCGTAGCGAGCGCCCTCCGTACCCTCCGACCGGAGGGGGCCCCACGAGGAAGGGGGCCCCTAAAAGTGGCAAAATAAATACCGCATTCAAGTTTCTGCATTGTAAGGGGCCCCGCCCGGACATATGTTCGGAGGGGGCCACCGTTCGGAGGGGGCCACGTTCTTTGTTGCTACGGCCCTGGGGAAGGATCTCGGGGACCTCAGCAAAGAGCCCAGTCAAGACTGCCGGCCTGAAGGCCGTTGAGATCAGAGAGGCAGGGGGCTGCTGGTCCCCAGGGCTGCCCAGAGGATTCAGGGGGCCTGGGGTCTTCGGCGGCGGGGGGCCCCCACCACCGAATTGCCGCCGAAGACCTGGAGCGGAAGAAGGTCCGGGGTGCCGGGCCCCACGAGAGTTTTCCGGGGCCCCCGGAGCGAGTGAAGGACCCCACTCCAAGGGCCCTGAAAAACTCTCGTGGGGGCCCCGGAGGGGCCCGGGGGAAAATGCCCCCCTCCCCCCCCCCCCCCCCCCGGGCGGCCTTGCTGGTCCCAGTGGACAACTGACCCGAGAAGCGTTAAGAGAGCAAAGCCCTGTGCTGGGCGGCTCATCCCCTGCCGCTGACGCTGGCCTCAAGGTGCGATCTCTGCCACAACCAGCTCTAGAAATGCTGTCGGGGGGTTTACGGAACTGAGCCCTGGCAGCTGTGCCCGCCAGGGTTTGTGAGCCCACCCCTCTGGACATGCCCAGCTGCCACCATCTTGGCCAACACACAGGGGACCGAACTGGGGACCTTCAGAGCTAAAAGCATAATCCACGCTGGCCTGAACTAAAGCTCCCTAGCTGGGGCTGTAACACTCCTATTGCCGATGGATCAGGCCCAGAGCGGGACACACTCACCGGGGTTACACCAGCATCCCACATCAGCACCTGGGCTTGTGTCTGTTCAGCAGCGGCTGGGAATGTCAGGACAGGCAGCCCGCCCCAGGGGCCCCCTGAAAGTCATCCGGACAAACAGCAGGAGAGGAGACAGCTGCCGTCTAGCTCCACAACGGGCTGTCAGGGAACACTCAGGAGCACAAGGAGGGGGGACAGGCCGGAACGAGATTCCTCCCACCGGCATCTCAAGTGGTTCCTGGCTTTTTGAGTGGCTGGGGGAGCCTCCTGTTGCATGCTTTGCTAGATGGAGGGAGATTCTCCCCATGGAAAACAAAGCAGAGCTCTGCTCAGTGTCAGCAGTTGGCCCGCATCCCTCAGGGCCTCCAGCAGCTGGGAGCCGGGTCACAGCTTTGTCCATCAGCTGGTGGCACCAACTTGGGAGGAGTCATGATGGGATGGGAGGCAGCAGCCTCTAGAGGCCTGAGCCTGGCAGAAGCCTCAGAGCATCCGTCCCTGGACATGGCACGAGTCCCCCACGCCCATGCAAGCGCTTGGCGCTCCTGTCCGTCCCTTCCCCAGCACCACAACCAGGAATCAGGGGGGGGGGGGTTGGGGGGTGGACGACACACTATTTGGATTCCTAGAGCCTTGAGATCTCAGTATTAGGGAGCCCAGGATGGAACAAAAACTCAGCATGAACGTGCCTCTCCCCCATCCAGACTTCAGGGTGCGTTTGCAGAGGCCCAGAGGCTGGAGTCACCTGAGACCCAGAAGCCTGGGCACAGGCTTCCTGCTCTGATCTCTGCAGCGATTCTCCCCTGCACAGTTCCAGGGCCCCAGCCTGCCATCGCTGACCCCTGCGCCCTCCCCTATCACCACCAAGGAGCTCGTGTTCTTCCCCTCCTCTCCGTGCCAGGGTGAACTGGCTGGGTTGGCAGAGTGCCTCTGTCTTCACTGGCCACCTGCCCAGCTCCAGCAGCCTGGCACCTGCGGCTGATAGAGCCAGGCCTCGCCACCCCCCACCCCCCGCTGCCTTCTTTTCCCCAGCCTGTCATTCAAGTAGATCAATAAAGCTCTCTTAACGCTCTCGCTCTCCTAGCAGGTTCGGCCTCCTGGCATCAGTGACGTGGCCCTAGCTTTACCGCTCCTCTGGGGGACCAGGCACAGAGACGGGATCCTGGGGGGAGTGGAAGACAAGGAAGAGTCCCATTTTTGATAGAGGAACACTACCACCCCCAGGCTGGGGGCCCCAGCGCCCAATCCTTGGCTGTACAGAAGCGGACACCCAGACACCAAGGTTAGAACATACTGGCCTAAAGTTAGGTGCCCACTTTTCAGAAGGGCTGAGCACACAACTCCTGTTAGCTTGGAAATCCGGGGGGGGGGGGCACACCGGATAATTATTTGGGGGCTTAATATAGCAGGGTGAAAAGCATATGAGGCAACAGTCTAGCAGAAAAATGCTGGTGTGCTGAAATCAAAATGTTTTACAGGAACGTGTCGATTTCAACAGAAACGTTTCCAGGCAAGTTGTTTGGACTTTCTGGCTTTGTTCCCTTTAAAAGTAAATACAATTTCAATAAAAGTCTATAGAAGAATGCTTTGACAAAATGAAACGTTTTGAGAAGGCTGGTTCAGTGTTTCTGAATTTAAATATTTGGGGATTTCTGTTCCGAGATCATTTCAGCTCTGTCCCGATTCGAAATGAAACGAAGTTTCAAGATGTCGGGATTTCCTGCGGGACAGAAATCCCATTCTCCAAGCAGCTCTAGTGCCCACATTGGAAAATCTAGCGGACTGCATCTCTGCTGTAGCACCTTTCGCTGGAGACAGAACAGCAGATCTATCTCCCCCTGCCCCTGGCAGGAGTTCTGATCCAGATCTGACTTGTGTCTCAGGCCTATCTGTAACAGGCTGGACCAGAACGCTGCCTTCCCCCATGTGTGACTGGTTTTTACCAGTGCAGTTAGCACCAATCAGAATGGCGGCAGCCGAGCCCCATGTTGCTAGGGTGACCAGATGTCCTGATTTTATAGGGACAGTCCTGATTTTGGGGTTTATTTCTTAGATAGGCTCCTATTACCCCCCCCGCCCTGATTTTTCACACTTGTTATCTGGTCACCCTACATGTTGCACAGGTGTAAGTAATTCCACAAGGGGAAAGGCAGAGGAGAATCCAGCTCAAATGTCCAGACTTTGCGGCAGTTTGGGATCAGATCAGATTCCAGATCCAAACCTCAGGCTGAAAGGATGGTCCCGAGTTGCAAAGGGTCCCAGAGCACTTTACAAGCCACACACTGAGGCCCTGAAATGCAGCCAGCTCTGGGGTGGGGGGCAGCCACCAGCATAACAGCACTAGGAGTGGAAGATTTTGACCATGGACACGTGGGCAAACCCCTTCCCTTATGAGATTTCCAATGAGCAGGATGTGACCTCCTCTGCAGCATCCCCACAGAGCAAATATCTGCCTCCGAAAGGTGGGAGGGGCCAAGTCAAACCTCTTCAGACTCCAGAGTCCTGGCATCAGAGAGGATGCTGGGATACTAAGACAGTCCCCAAAGCAGCAGTGCTGGAGGACAGGGCTTCAAGGGCACGTCCAGAGATGCAGTCTCCGGTTCAAAACCACGTCTGGTTCTCTGGGAGCCCTTTGTTATCCCTGACCCGGCCACACACCATGCCTGGGCACCACTGCAGAGCCCAGTGGCACGTCCCAGTGCAGCTCCAAAGCAAATGAACGTTTCCAGGCTCCAAGGACAGGCAGCCCTGCCCACCACATACCCAGTCCTCCGGCTCCTGTTCTTGGATTTACGAGGCCAGCGAGATGAGCACAGACACGCGGGCGGTGACACACCCAGCTTGGCAGGTCCGTGCTCACACGCTGGCTTTGCAAAGCAGCCTTTCAACTCCTGGGATCAGGTAGGATGCTGGAGACCGGCTCAGCGAGAGGGGCCCAACCCCCTCTCACCGCTGGGGATCGCCTTTCGACCAGAGAGAGCCAACCCAGGGTTCAGCAGGCTGGACAGTGTCTGATGTGCCTGCAGTAGTAGGGAGTGCCGCAGGGCAGGCTGGAGGTGCACTGACATAGCTGGGGACAGCAAGGCAGGATGGTGCAATGATGGAGGCTCCATCTCAGTGAATGCTGCAGTCTGCTGGCGCCTTGCAGTTCTCATCTGGAATCTGATCCCCCAGGAGCGTGGCTTGGGGAACCCAGGAAACCGGCAGAGACCAAGCTGGGCCCTTCGAGGTCAGCATTTGGACAGAGAGGAGGGCGCGCTGGAGCTCTCATCCTCATGGTGGATTAGGGAAGGGACATTAGAAGGCCATAGGAGATAGTGGGAGGGGGAGGAACAAGCCCACCCAAACCCAGCTAGTGAGAGTCGTTCCAACCCCCACCCCCCCACCATCAACCCAGCTCCACCAGGCCTATCTCTTGCACCCACCCACCCCTGAGAGGCCTCGGGAAGATGTCCGTGGGTTCTCCCCTCCCCCCAGGCCTCAGAGACTGTGCTGGGGGCATTGCTCTTTGGGCTGGCTGCGTCTCCCCCACACTTTCTAGCCTGCAGGAAGAAGTCAGCTTGTTGATGTTCATCAACTCCTCCCCGCTTGCTTGCCAGACGCAGCCGCCCTCCCACTCCGCTCTCACACGATAGGCGTCAAATGGGAGCTTAGCCAGAGACGGATACCTACTAAGGTCTGATCACGGGGGCGGGGGGTAGTCCCTGTGAGTCGTCCCTGGCTCCCAGGCCTGGCAGGGGCATTCAGTCAGATAACCCCCTGCAGCTGAGCTAGGAGCAAGACGTCAGATGGGACACGGGCTGCCATGAAAGGAGCCTTTGAGGAACAGGAAGTGGTGGGGAAAGCCAGACCACCCTCATCTCCTGCCTTTGTATGGTGCACCATCCCATCTGCTTCAGAACCTGCTGCCCAGCTGGGCGCTGCCCGTCACTGCAGCCAGCCTGCACTCCTGGCCGAGCCGAGGGGAGCAGTGGAGACATTGGGAACAGTCAAGCGCTTGATCCTTGGCCGCCATCTCCACAGGGACCCAGCTGCTACCAGACGCTCAGATGCTTGCATGGTGCAAGCTGCCATTCTTCAGTTGGGCCACACGGTGGCACCCTCGCTGCTCACAAAGCCAGCTACGCCGTTAGCGGAAATCCAGCGGAACGAGTCCAGCCTACAATGGTTTCTCTTCAGCGTGGACAAACACTGCCGCTACTTTCAGCTCGGACGCTCCTCCTAGCTGCATCCCAATGCGGAAGTTATCCAAAAGCCCGTGCTCCTAGTAACACCTCTTTGGGACAGATGCATGTCCCAGAATGCACTGGTAGATTCACGGTTATAGGACAAGGTGTGTGAAGAGGATAACAATCTCACACACACACACACACACAGAGTCAGGACTAGATCCCTTGCATTTGAGCTAAAGGAGAGCTCCCCTAGCTGGTGGCAATGGTAGGTCCCTTATCCACCCTGCCAGCTGAGCCACTGGAGGGCAACATAACTCACACACAAAAACAGGACATTACAGACACCTGGTGCTGCTGGGTGAACGGCTCCAACTGAGGCTAGGGCAAAGCAAGGCAGGCAGCCATTCCATACAATCAACACCTCCTCGCGTGTTGGGAAAGAAGGAGGCTGACAGGTGGGATGTACGGGGGGAAAGAAGGCAACTCACAAGCTCGGTATCCTGGCCTCGCAGCAGTGGCTTCTCCTCGGTGAATCGCAGCTCGTGCAGCCCTGCCATGGTCACTTCCTGCAGCAGCAGCCCTGCAGGGGGAAATAAAACCAGCACACAGGTCAGCTGCCTGGCAGCCAGCCTCCTGGCACTGCCCACAGACCTTCAGCCTGAGCTCTGGGCTGGAGCTGGCGAGGGCCAGCCGGCGAGGGGAGCAGCCAGATCTCTGCTGTGTGCGTCCCAAGGATCAGCTCTCCGATATAGGTCCATCTGGGGTGGCATCAGGATGGGACAGATGTGCCCAGCACATGGTGGCTATCAGAGCGGGCAGTAGCTGGTCCCCCCCGTAGGCAGCCATGGCAGAGGGGCCAGGAACTGACTGGGCCGTGGAGACTGACCCTAGTCATGCCGGGGGGGGGGGGGCGGAAAGAGGGGACATTGGTGGGGTGGGTAAAGCTGGCGCTATTGCTGCCCACGCTATACATGTTCGAGGAGGGGCACATGGGCATGACGCCTTCACCCAGCTGCTCTGCCAGGAGAGGGCACCCTGGGGCGCAGCCTGCGAGACCCTCCCACGTGGGAAGGGAGGATCCTGCGTGTCGCTGGGTGACAGATGCTCCCTGGGAGGAGGAATCGCACCCCAGCTCCTTGCTTCAGCCACAAGCCCGTTACCCGAAAGAGGGGCAGGTCCCTCACCGTTCCAGGAGCCCTGGGGTTTAATCTCAGTGCCTTCGCCCTCGCGCACCCCGCTGAGCTGGCTGGCCCACAGGGAGCCTTTGGGCTGAAGCCCGCAAGCACTGACAAACTTGTGAGCAGCATCCGCCCGGGCCGGCTCAGCAGGGCTGGAGCCTCCACGTGGTCATCGAGGGCAGGGAGCCAGCCTGGGACGTGGGAGAGCTGGGTTCAAAACTGTGCTCTGCCACAGATGTCCTGGGTGACCTTGGCCAAGTCACTTAGGCCCGGATTTTTAAAAGTATTTAGGCAGTGCACCACTCCTGTCCTAAGTCACTTCAGCATTGTAAAGCTAAATCTCACTGAAAGGGGCCCAGGCTCCTTTGTCACTCAGGCCAGGCTCTGCAAAGGTATTTAGGTTCCTATTTCCATTGAAGTTAGGAGCCTAAGGACCTTTGTGGAGCTGGATCTTGGGCCTTGCAACGCTGAGCAGAGCGGTGCCTAAAGACATCTTCGGCCTCGGTCTCTCTGTGCCTCCACTCCCGCTCTGTACCACGGGGAGAACAGGGGTGTTGTGAGGAGAAATGCCTTAGCACTTGTGAGGGGTGTCAGGTGAGTACCCCAGTCAGCTCTGCAGGCTTTGGAGCTGTCGCCCCCTAATAGCCAGGAGTTTGAGACGTCCAAGCCCCTGGAATAAATCGAGATGATCTAGGGAACTGCAGGGCACAGTGTTAGAGCTGCATAAACCTCAGGCCTTTCAGATCGGGCTGTGGGGAGTGTCACAAAAATCCTTCCTTCTGCTCTGTGTCCACACGCAAAGCTGCACCAGTTTCAACGAAAGGTTCAACTGAAAATGGAGTCAGTTGAACTGATGCAAAAAGCGGTGGGGATGCGCTTAAATCCACAGAAACCTGGCTGATTCGGTTTAGCTCCCGCGGATTAGGAATAGGGCTAAGCTAAATTGAAAGAAGCTGCTCTTAACTAAGCGTCCATGCAGGAGTTTGCACCAGATTAACCAGATCACTGCCCGCGAGTGCATGGACAAAGCCCCAGCTTGTCTGAGTCTCAGGGGCAGGGCCGCCCAGAGGATTCAGGGGGCCTGGGGCAAAGCAATTTCGGGGGCCTCTTCCATAAAAAAAAGTTGCAATACTATCTCGTGGGGGCCCCTGTGGGGCCCAGGGCCTGGGGAAAATTGCCTCCTCCTCCCCCCGGGCGGCCCTGCTCAGGGGTGAGGGAAAACCTCAGCTGGAAAGGCCCAGGTTTGCTGGTTTGGCATCTGAGCCGGGGAACTTTTGACTCTTAACAGATACACATGGGACCCAAGCAAGCCAGCGCTCAGCTGGCTCGAACGGTTTGGGACCTCAGGAAACAGGGCCCAAGCTCCTGATTGGCAACAAGACGAGAGTTTCCCTTTCTTTGCTCAGCTCCACCAAGTTCGTGCTTAACTCCATCCTGGGAGCAGATCGCTGGTGCTGAGCAGCAGTTACCTTCCGACTCATAGCCGAGTAATCTGCGAGAGCATTATCGTTAGGGCCCTACCAAATTCACTGTCCATTCTGGTCAATTTCATGGTCATGGGATTTCAAAAATCGTCAATGTCACGATTTCAGCTATTTAAATCTGAAATTTCACAGTGTTGTAAATGTAGGGATCCCAACCCAAAAAGGAGTTGGGGGGGGTCGCAAGGTTATTGTAGGGGGTACCCTTATTTCTGTGCTGCTGCTGGCGGTGGCGCTGCCTTCAGAGCTGGGCAGCTGGAGAGCAGTGGCTGCAGGCCGGGAGCCCAGCTCTGAAGGCAGCGCCGCCGCCAGCAGCAGCGCAGAAGTAAGGATGGCCTGGTATGGTATTGCCACCCTTACTTCTGCACTGCTGCCTTCAGAGCTGGGCCCTCAGTCAGCAGCCACCGCTCTCCAGGCGCCCAGCTCCGAAGGCAGCACAGAAGTAAGGGTGGCAATACCGCAACCCGCCTAAAATAACCTTGTGACCCTCCTGCTAATCCCTTTTGGGTCAGGACCCCCAATTTGAGAAAGGCTGGTCTCCCTGTGAAATCTGTATAGCATAAGGTAAAAACACACAAAAGCCCAGATTTCACAGGGGAAGACCAGATTTCACGGTCCGTGATGCATTTTTCATGGCCGGGAATTTGGTAGGGCCCCAATTCTCATTTATTATTTCTATTACCATAGCGCCTAGGAGTCCTAGACACGGCCCAGGACCCCGGCGTGCTAGGGGCTGTACAGTCACAGACCTAACAGACCATCCCTGCCTCCAGAGAGCTTCCAATCTAAGCTGGATGGCTTTAAACAGAGATTTCAACTGTGCAAAAGATCTTGGAAGGGGGGAAAAGAGCCTCCCATGTAAACCCTGGAGGTGAGGGAGACACAGTAGGGAGATGCTGCCGGTAAGTTTAATCTCTCAGCTGCACATAGCACTTCTCTTCCCAAAGCAGTTTATACACCAGTCGTTTCACCCACCACAGCTACCTCTGGGGTGCAATATTCCACTGCACAACAGTTTACAATGGACTTGAAGGAGACTGCATCGAACTGACCGAGCAGCGGGGCGCTCAGCATGTAGAGTCCACGCTGGAATTTCAAGCTAACTCTCCGGCATCTGTAGAAAGAGCCACAGGATTGTGACCACACGTGGCCAACCTACCGTGAAACGTGGCACCAGCCCAGCAGCACCACCCTCAGCTCAGGGCCAGCCCCGCTCGGCTTGGGACATGTCAGGATTGCCGCAGCACAAGGAGGCTGCACACACAGTGATACGACTGGGGGCTGGAACAAAAGCCTGCCCTCAAGGGGAGCGCCCACACCTGAATGCTGCAAAGAATACGGAGGGCAGCGCTTGGTGTGGGGCCCCCCCAAGAGAGAACGGAGCCCCTCCAGCCACACAACAGCGAGAGCCTGGAGTAATACCCATGGGTCTGAACTTCTGCTACCCCATCTGCTGAGCTAATCCCCAGGCTTGAAACACACGCGAGCCTACCTAGGAGACATCACAGCCCCTCCGCACTGTCATAGAGGTTGCTCGATGCCTCCACTGCTTTGTACTCTCCGCCCTCTACATATCGCCTGAGCCAAAACATCCTCCCGCTCTCACTTCCCCAGAGGTGTCAGGCAGCGGAGATGAATTAACTCCCTTGCAGACAACGCTGGGTTAGAGGGCACATCGATTGCCGATTACAAGGCATTTGCTCATTACCCTCCCACTGCATTTCTGCACTGGGCTCCTTAGCTCAGCGCTGAGCGGGAGGGGGCACTCCCGCTCCAGAGCAGCCGGCAGTCGGGTCCCGTCCCAGAGTCCGGGCTCTGCAGTGGAGCAATGAGAACCACTGCCCTGGAGAGTGCAGGGTCGGGGTCCTAAGTAAGGGCTTGTCTACCGGGCAAGTGTTCCCAGTTACACCAGTGTAACTAAACCACGATAGTTATGCTTGTGTGACTACCCACATGGACCCTCTTTTTCCAGCACAGCAGTGGCATTAGGCAGATTAACTCACTCTGCTTTGGAAGGGGTTGAGTTAAACCAAAACGAAGCTGCTTTTTGACTGGAGTAAGCATCCACATGGGGAGTTCTGCCAGTAGTCACACCTCCTTAGCATAAAGCAGGACGACGTGCCCGTGTAGACAAGCCCTAAGAGGGTTTGGAGACTTCAGCAGGGCTACCGAGTCTTATCCTGCCCCTAAGACAGCTGTGCATACCACAGGCCACACTTCTGGGCAGGACTGGGGAACTTCTGCTCAAGGGAGGCCCATGGGTGTGACAGCAGAGGAGTCGTGGCCCATGGGCCAAAATTCAGAATTTAAGTAAGTGCAACGACACTGACTTTGGTGGAGTCACTTTCTGAGCCAGTTAGAAGCCCTAGTCTCGTTAGACAGACGTGTGTGTGCTACCCTGCGGCATTCAGGAGACCCCTAAGCTGGCACCCCAGGAG